AGAATCCAGATGCCTACTTCACCTTGCCACCCTAAAACCGAAAAGCGCAAAAAAAAGATGCAAAAAGCAGCAAAATAGCAACGCCACCGCGCAACTCAATGAGAATCCTCGCACGCGCATCAAAGTTTCAAGACGAGCAACCTCCATTCCCTTCCAATTTGGCTAAAAAAAAAAACAAAACAAAACGAACGGAAATCCGCCGTTATTATTCTCTAAAACGCCATGCCTTTCAGGGCGCCGGGTTCCGTTCTTAGCCCTTGGTGCCGCTGGTTCATGTCCTCCACTCTTCCGAGCTCTTTCCCCACGAGGCTTCCAAGGGCGTCCGCTTCCCGTGACTTCAGCTGCAACAGGGTTCTAAGTTTCTTGTATTCCACATCGGCCTGGCAACTCACTCTGTTAAGCCGCGCCGCGACATCCGCTTGTTCGTGTCGAAGTCGCACGACGTCTGTGGAAATTGTTTCGACATGTTGCTTGACGCGTTGAAGATTTCGTATTGTCCATTCTCTCGTGCTCTCAATCTCATTCATAATGGCGTCATGTGTGCGTTGCCGTTCTTCCCCTAGCACTTCCAGAGCTTTGGAAGTGGCGGCGGCTTTGGGCTGCAGAGAATCCAACATATCCGACATCTGCCGCACGGTCGCTTCCACAGAAGCAAGGCGGGTAGATTCAGTGGTCACCCTGGATGCCTCAAGCCTCCGCACTGCTTCTTCTAAAAGAGACAGCTGCTCACTTATTCCATTTTGAGTCTCCTTTTGAGAAGAAGCAGATGTGGTAATCTCCCTTTGCACAGTTATCACGTTCTGCTCCACATCTTTCTGAACGGTCTTTACAACTTCTTCGAGATCTATTTTTAGCTGATACAGCTGTTCTTCACTTTCCTTACGTACCTTCATCATCTCATTTCTGTTTTCTTGTTGAGCTTCTTTAACCGTCTCCCGTATCGCAGAAGGAACTTTCTCCTTCAAAATGGCAAGTTCTTCCTGCAGTTGGACTGTTATTTGTTCCTGTCGTTTTATTCGGGAACGCAATTCGTGTTGTTGACGCCGAAGATCTCCCTCTTTATCTTCTTGCAGGCCTTGAGCCAATTTCACCAGCCTTGTCAGATTCACTATTTTTTCATCAAACGCATCGACGCGGGTGGAAAGTCCTTCTATTCGATCCACGAGCTGTTGGACCGAAAAGGCACCCTTCAGTACTCGCTCCACGCGCTGTTCTGTGGCCGCCTTCACCCCTGCCGAACTCAACTGTGTCTGCGGTGCGGTGTTTTCGTTCCTTCTCTGCCGCAAATAGATGTCTGTGTAGTCCATCGTGGCTTTTCAGAATGGAGCACGGCCCGCCTTTTTTTTTTTTTTGTTTCACCCTCCACACGTCACCCTGTCCAGCAATGGCGCGCAAGGCGTCCAAGAGGCGAAATGCAAGGAATGAGGGTCAACCCCAAACAAGGAGGGGGGGGAAAAAAAGGCACATCCAATAGAGAGAAGAAAAGGAAAATAACAGCACCTCCACACACACACACACTCACACGAAAAAAAAAAAGAAAAAAACATCGCTACTGCAATAGATTTGGCCTTGCGGATGAAAATTCTGTGACACATTTCTCTTTTTCTCCATATATACATATATACACTGCTCATTGCCGCCCTTTCATGCCTTTCCTCTTGAAAACTTCTCCTTTTCAGCCCTCAACTCACAAAATGTGTGTCTGGGGTGTGGAAAAAAAAAATTGTCCGCGGCAATAAGGACAAACTAAACATGGCACGATCAGACCAATACGGAGAGGGATAGATGGGGCGAAGCGGGTCTATACAAGCCGTTCCGAATCATCCACACTCAAGGAGACATTCAGCGTTTTATTGATGCTATCCCACTTTGCATCCGCCTTTCCGGCAATCACCTTCTGCGGCAGAGCAGCTCGCAGGTAGTACTTTGAAGAGGAAACACGAAGTTCATATGGATCAACTGCAATGGCTAAATCGGCAATTCTCTCCAGCTTGGGCATGACAATTTTCACAAGAAGACCAGATGTTCCTCCAGTGACCCTCGTCGCGTCTATCCCAAGGTAAACGTCCTCAGCAGTAACAATTTCCTGATGCACAATGGAGTGTTCTGGTTGCTCTGCGCCTTCTTTTGGCTTCACAGTAGCGTCATGACGCGCACGAAATGCAGCAAAAATTTCCTCCGCTGTCCAAATGGCATAACCTTTCGGTTTTGACTTCTGACGCTTCTTTATCTCCAGTTCTTTGGCTTCACGGGTCTCTGATGGAATGGGGAGGCGCAATTGCCGATCCACGACTGTGGAAGGCAAAGGAATGCTTGACGGGTTTACCTTCATCGACGTACCGGCCGTGGCGCCGCAGGAAGCGTCCCCCGCCGCATTTGCCTCTTGCAAGCTGTACCCCACTTTTTGTTCCTCAGGCCGCTTGAAACCATCATTTTTTTCCAACAATTCCGCCAGGCGGGAGATATTTTGAAAGCAAAATCCCCCACCGGTATCCATCCCTTTTGGTTGGCAAAAAAAAAAAAAAAAAAAAAAAAAAAAAAAAAAAAAAAAAAAAAAAAGGGAGTGCGGATGGCGCTGAAATAATAATATTCCACTTGAAAGAGCACACAGTACACAGAATGCCATACAGAATAAGAGGAAAGGGAATGTGAATTGGCGACAAATAGACAAACACCCCGGGGAAAACAAGATCCCCACCTTCCCCCGTTTCGCTGTTGTTTTTAATTTGGCCCCATTCCTGCGATTGACAAACGTACACATACAGAAAAAAAAATATTACAAGTCCAAGTTTCTGTATACACGCACTGTATGTCCACACGACACTAGAACAAACACGAACTAATTTTTTTTTCTTTTTTTTTTCTTTTCGTCTTCTCCATATTTTTCTCCACCCACCCCGTCAAAGCTTGCTTCGGCTTCCCAGTAAAGGATCGAACTCCAACTGAGTAAGTAACTTGTGTATCTCAGGCCTGAAAACAAGAAGTGAAAGATATTGTTTCGCCTGAAAAGCGGTAAGAACAGAGGTACACATGCACTCGTCTTCAATGGTGATGGTGTTGAGTACTTTATGATCCATCAATGTGAGCGGCAGTTTCGCCAGCCTTGTAGGTGTTTCTTGCCACCATAAACGAAGAAGCCTTATTGAGTCCCCATCAAGGAATCGAAGAGGCAGGCTATTCTTGGGTCGTTCCGCTGTGACGTACAGGTCCCGCACCAATGACTCATAGGCAGCACTAAGGTTCGTTTTTCTGTTAACAGGATCCTCCAAGGCCCTTTTTGCATTGTAATATTCCAAAAATTGCATCAAAGTGGACGGCCAACGCAACACTACCTGCTCATTGGAGGGTTCATCATCGTCCTTAAAGTGACTAAAAATGCTTACCATGGCATGCACCTGCTGCGTATGTTCCAACATTTCACGAAGAAGTGGCTCAATTTTGCCAACGTATTGCTGTATGTCCGGTATCCCGACAACACGAGGTACTTGTCCTCTTATAAACTCCTGTGGGGAAGGAATAGAAGGGAGACGCAGCATGGAGGAAGGCACTGCTCGAGGTTGCAACAAATTACTTTGCTCAGATTCCAAGGGTATCTGCACGACATACCCACACTGGGGCCGAAGGGAGTTGATTGGGTTTGGGGAGCGAAGGTAAGTGATGATGTTGGCGTCCCCCGCTTTCAATGGGCTCATTGTTTTCTCAATGAATGTTTTACACCCCGGTGACTCAAATGTGATGGCGTACGTGCGTTCTTCTACGGACCGACATGCCGCAAGAACGGCGCCCAGGCTGTGGCCAGTGTAACTGATAAACCACTCTGGTGTTTCCCCCCGTGTGACACTTAGGTATAAACGAACTTGTTTTGAAAACTGCCGCGCCAAGCTAAACAGAATATTTCGTTCACCAAAGTAAGTCCAAACACCTGCTCGTAGGCTTAGCGCATTTGTTGTCCCCCGCTGGGCGATAATGCAGTGACGCAACTCTTTATTGATGTACGCTATGCCAAAGTACCCTTCTTTATCCAAGTTTACATTCGTTGCCGTAAGAAGGACTTCCCACGGACTCGGAATTGGTGGGGCATCGGGGTTGCCATAGACATGAAGCGACAAAGAGGCGTACACGGAATGTGGAATAAGTTGTAATGAAGGAATGTCCTCCGGTGTCATTTTGGGCCGTGCTCTAATAACCGCATCGAAGCAAGTAGAGCTTGACAAAGATTTGCTATGATGAAACCCCATTTGATATCTCTTGCTTTTCCCACTACCAGCGCCATCAAAAAAAAAAAAAAAAAAAAAAAAGGCCGACAAACGAAAACAGGCGGGATGCGGGAGAGAAAAAGAGTGAAAAAGAGAGAAAGGGGAGGAGAGAAGGAATCAGAAGACGTCGAGGCTCATTCCAATTTTAACTAAACGGCACGCACTAAGAGGCAGACAACAGCAAAAAAACCAAAAGGTACTGTACCCTTTCATCGAAACTCAACGGCATTGCTGGATGACTTCTCTCCAATCTCGTTGTGAAAGCGAGGCCAGAACGTCAGAAACACGCCAAAGTTTGATCCTTTGAAAGGCATCATTTCCCACTTCCGGAGGGTGGACTCGGGGAAGACGATGACGGTGCCGCAAGAACCGCGCAAGCGATATGTCGCCCATATTGTTTGGCCCTGCAGTTTCCTCCTCGCTCCTTTTCCCTTTTCCCCACAGTTGTTCCACCACACCAAGCCGTGTGCGAAGTTTGGACTTCAGATTGTGGCTAAGCGAAACCGGGCTTGAACCATCGACCGCAGCGTCAAGCAGAGCGTGGGCCTCCTTCACAATAAGTTTGTAGTCACTGTGCTCTAGCGCCGGTTGCGACATGGCCCATTTCAGTGCAATCGCCACCCACTGCGCCTTCACGAGTAACGTTTCCCGACCATGAAATTCCCTCCCCAAAACGGTGTAGTAATTCATGAACCCGGGGTGCTCACATTCCTGCAGTATATAAAGAAGCAGATTGACATTCCGCACAGAGAACCCAGCAGAGCTACTGCTTCCCGTGACAGGTGCAAGGTAGCTCTCCATCCGTTCGTCCAATTCTTCCTTACAGAACACACTGTGCCGAATAAACAGTAAATCCAGATGCAGGCGTTCCTCTCCTGTCAGTTGGATGATGCCAGATTCTTCCAGCGCATGAAGCAGCTTCTTGAAGTTCGTCGCTCTACACTTGGCAAGGGCAATAAGGCAAGGGAATATGTCCTGCGACGACGGTGGGATGGGCTGTATCTCGCTGAGTAACGCCTGAAGACACCACACCGCCAGCTCTTCGTCCGCCACGTCCCCCGCCACTCGCACCGCATTGTGCAATACGGGGATGGAAGGGGTGTATTCGGGAAAACGATGACGAATACGCCTAATCAACGCAGCTCCCCGTGTACTTTGCATCGATGCACCAAAAAAAATAAGTGTTTGCTGCAAAAGCGGATCATCTGGTGAGTTGTTTTCCGATAAAAAGTAAGCTTCCGCCAACGCCGCATATCGAATGGCGAAGTCCCAACGTTCTGCCTTGACACACGAGCGCATCATACACACGAGGCAAATTGGCGTGAACCACTCGCTCGACTTGGCGCCAAGGTGACGCTCCCACCATGAGAAGAGCTGCGCGTATACGTCAGCTTCGCCCTCATCTTCTGCGTGATACAAAACCAAACGTTTGGACTTTGACCACCAACTATCAAACGAAACCTCCCCTGGTAGGTGAAGCAGAAGAAACGCTTCTTCACAGATGGCACGGTATTGCGCCAGAAGCGCCAAATTTTCCGCTCGGTTCGTCCCAATCGCATCCAAAATCAATACCACCTCCTCGTTGTTGATACTCCTCGCAAGAGGACGGGAACGTTCGATTCGCACAAAACACCGCGTGCTTTGCCAATAGATACGGAGCAGCAGCAGCAAAAAAGGGGGCATTCCACGTGCTGAAGCGCCCTGGCTCAAATCAATATTATCAAGAGCGGATAAACACTTCTGCAGGTATTCCGGCCTCGTCGTGAATGCCGCGGCATTGATGACAGTTTCACTCAACGGAAGCGGCGCCAACGTACGGCAACTAAAAAAAAGCTCCGCACACCGTGCATGGTAGCCGGCTGTGTGGGCTAGACGGCATGCCTCTTTGCATAGGCGCACCTTGCGTGGATCATCACACTGAACGAGCTCATCCAGCAGTGATTTCAGTTTACCCGTGTCCTGATAACTGCCAGACTGCGTGAAGTGACGGATTGCAATCTCCAAGCTCTCAAGGCTCGGCGTATTGGAAGCGGCGTCATTTTTAGGCGATAAGAACACCCGCGTAGGGCATCGGAATCGAGTAAAATTAAACCTTTTAAACATGAAGGCGCATCACAAAACCACAAGCCCTTGTTATTCCTTCTTCTCTATTAAATAAATAAATATGCCCTTTGAAAAGTCAATCCAAACGCTTCCCCGCCCGTCATATTCAAAAAAACCAACAAGAAGATGATTGGGGAAGAGCGACAATAAAGACAAAAGGGATACGAAACCAACGAAAAATCTCCATGAAATCTTCATGCCTTCCCCTCATTCCCACCTCCCGAATTGGTGGTTCGACCGGAAGAATAATAATAAAAAAATAATATTCAATTATCAAAATGCGTGAGGATCAGAAGACACAAAGTGAGCTTCTCAATTCTTTCCACGCCCTTCGGACATTTTCTCACAGAAAATAATGTCCACTTGTCACGGCGCCAACCAACAAAGCAAAAAGAGAGCACACAAAGCTCCGTGTAGAAAGGAGATTCAGAGACAAACAAGCACACAAAAATTACAAAAACAGAGGCTCTTTCCCAGCTTTATCATAAATAGTTGAGTGGAATAATAATAAAAAAAAATGGATAAAATATCACGTGACGTTCCATTATTCTATACGTGTCCATCAACATTTCTTGCTGTTGTTTTTGGGAAGCAATTCCTTTGCCTCTTCACGGCGCAATGTCTCTGTTTTTGGCTTGTGATACTTAAGAATGGCACGGACACAATCCGCCTTCTTTAGTCTTTGCCGTCTCCCCAATTCCTTCTTTACAAAAACCGAGAGCTCATTCGCGGTGTAGTGGTTTTGCAGCTCAAACACCGTGATTGCAGGGTCGTCGAGGGGCCTTCGCCGCTCACGCAGGACTGCCCTCGGAACGGCCGAGGGCCGCTCACGCATAAACCAGTCAAGATTCTCCGCCGTGAGAAGTTCCCTCCCGTCTTCTGCCAGCCGCATCTTCTTTTCGGGAGATTCGCCCGAGGACGTGTCCTCTCCCGCCTCCTCTTCCTCCTCGTCAACATCAATCGCCTCATAACACTTTTCGTAGGAGGCGATCAGCCAATCAAGCACCCTGTCCTTCCCCTTCTTCTCCCCCTCATCCGAAGACGGAGGTGGAAACACAACGTCGATGATGAAGTCCTCAACGGCATGTGGAAGTTCATCCCCTCTGGCACGCGCAGACTCCAGCAATGCCGGCTGCACCCCACATGCCAGCACCAGAGCATCATTTTCCCTCGGAGTTCTTTGACTCATCCAATGATCAAGAGCATCGATAAGAAACTGCTCCGACACCGTCGTGGCGCTGTCCGTTAGACCAAACGTCTCTTTAATACGCAAAAGGGCCCACGCTGGCAGATCACTCTCCACGGCCTCAACGAACGCAGTAAGTGAGGACGGTGCAATTACACTCTTAATGAATGCCGCCGAGTCTTCCACTAGCCGCAACATTTGGACCCGCTCCTCTTCATCCAGGAAGAGACGCATGATGTTGGCACGGAGAGCACGAACCCCACTAGACAAGATGTCTTGGATGACGCTGCCGGTGTGAAAGCATCGCTTCACATCGAGGAATTCCCCGTCACGGGTGAGGTTGCTCCGGGCCGAAAAGGGCTGCAAACCAACAATATCCAAAAAGGCCAGAAGCCGAAACAGGGGATTCTGTTTCCACGCCGCGTCCATTCTCAGCAACGCGAAGCAACAGAGAGGCAGGGGCTGCGGTAAAAAAAGGGAGGACGCTGGCGGACACCTCGTCCTCCCCACCTTGCCGATAATATTGGAGGGCCCAACGTACGCAGAAACGCAATCAGAGAAAAAGTGAAAGATGCCCTTTCCACTACTGAAGCCACTAATCAAAACAAACAGAAAAAAAGACGATGAAAAGATCATTCGGCCAAACCAACACCACGAGAAGTATCCCCCACGACTTGTCCCAACAAACTGCTTTCATCAACCAAAAAAAAAAAAGCTTTCTTTTTTAAAATTTTTATTGTTTCCTGCCAACTCGCCACATGGTTTTTCCAACGATGCTCTTAAAAAGAAAAATAGAGGCACTTCAGCGACCATCTTTTCCCTCACCAACGACACTTCGCTGGTCAGCCGCCCTCCTAATCGCCACTGCGACAAGTTGGTACCGACCTCGCCTATCACCCAGTACCACAAGCCTCCTGCGCCGCCTGCGAAGCGCGTGACGCACACCGGTTTTGCTTCCAACAAAAGCAGGCATCTCTGGCTGCGGCAGAAGCAGCTCCCCTGTGTCCAGATCGCGCAGAAATGTGTTATCATGCGAGCATACTGAGGAGATGTCAGCAAACAGTTTCTCCACATGTGATCCATTAATATCAGTGAAGTGCGCGGATTTAGGCGTGCTTGTGGAAAAAACTGGAACATCAATCATGATTCCCGCGGTGGTCTCAACACTGATGGTTGATGCAGCCTCTTTCGTCCAGTCGCCGGCCGATCGCTTTTCAGATGTCTGTATCGAGTGGGGCAAGACATGGGTCGCTTCACAATGCATGGTGGTGCCAAACAGCGGCATTACTCGCGCCTCCAATTCACAGCGATTCTCCACAAGACGCGGCACTCGAAGAAATTCCACATGTTTTGGAAGGACTTGCCAAGCGGTACTCACTGCCCTGAAAGGTACGTATGGCTCCCTCATCTTGCGAGCATCCACTGTCCTCCCCCTTGGTGTAACTATAAAAGAAAGAACAAGGAAGAAAGGGGGCTGTGGGTGGAAACGGCTAAAACACACATGTATGTATATATGTATATGCATCCAAAAAATCGGCTCATCACAACGTATTGGGCGCCAAAGCAGCAATGGAAAGGCATGGCTCACCGACAAAAATCCGATCCATAACGAAAATGAAATCTGGAAATATTCAAAGAAATACAAAAGAACATAAAAACAAGAAAATGGGAAAATGCCTCAGAAAGGAATGCCATGAAAAGAACAGCAGTGAAGCACAAATAACAGCTCACCAAAATGGCACACCGTTATACCCCTCGGCACCCGCCAGGTGTTGCATGCTAAACAACGCCGACAAAAATGCCTTGCGCTCGACTTTGCCGATGACATAGGCAAAAAAATAGCTTACAATGCCTCCCACCGTCGCCTTACCTAAATCACGGATTTGTTGCAGTAACTCCTCACCAGATGCACTCATGGGGATCGCCGCTCCCAACTCGTCCAAATCGGCTAACTGATTGTGTTGTGGTACCTTCTCCGCATTGAGCATGGCGGTGGTACCGCGAAGAGCCGACCACACACTGTCGTACCGTTGCTGAGCATTGGGGTGATCAGAAACCTCCGACACGGCCAATATAACGCGAAGAACTTCTCGCAGCTTCAGATATTCACGAGCCACGGCGGCACACCGCTTCCACCTCAGTTTGGACATTTGACGCCGTGCACTTAATTCCGCCATGTCGTCTGTCTGCATACATACCGAAACCGACACGCGAAATCGCTTTGGCATTGTTCGACCTCGCCCAGCTATGGTGCGCAGAACGGACCAGCCCGGGTCGTGTTCCTCCTCCACAATTGTCGAGCGCAAAAGGTCCCGCACTGATTCCAAATCTGTGACTTCCGTGTACCACATGCGCCTCTTGACAAACTGCAGGGCCATCAAAAGTCCGGTAAGCGCAAATCGTGGCTCCCTGCCCTTGATTATGTCACAAAACATCCGCAGGTCAAGAAGAACTTCTTCAGAATGATCTATTACCCATTGTATAAGCTCTGGTTGAGAAATAATTCTCCTAGAACCCTCAAGTGAGGGTGCTGAATGCTGATGCCGGTTGGTAACAATCTCATCATCAACATCTTCATCTTCCTTCTCACTATTGCTGTTTAAATCGTCATCTTCAACGTCGTTGATGGTCATTCCACCCCATGATTTCATATTCGAACGACTTATTGAATGCACGGCTGTGTACGTTTTCAGAAGAGACTCATTAAACAGCATGCGCCTCAGCCCCGGTGGGCGCAACAAGTACACTCGTTCCGTAAAGATTGTCCACAAGGCAACGTTGTCAGGCGCGGTGAACTCATGAAAAAAATGGTTCAGTGTGCCAAGTATAAGCACCTCCCGCACAGGTGTGTACTCCGCGCACAGCATCAATACATCGTACGGTAGGTTCTGGAATCTGGAATGGCTGGTAGAACAAATAGCCTCTGGCGCCACCTCCACAAAATCCATCTTTAGTTTAACTCCCTGAAGCACGGTGCTAACCTCAAAAAGGGGTAAAAAACAACAACAACAACAAAATGCAAAACAGACAATAAAATAAAAAACGAAAGACCCCCAAATGGACCTCAAAAAAAAACAACAACAACAAAAAAAAACAGCCACAACAATCAGAAGATACATGCAAAAAAAAAAAAAAAAAAGAACATCGGCATAAGTGAGAAAATGACGGGGTATATAACCGAACAACGGCGGGTTATCTCAGGCCCCCTCAATGTGCCACGCGTACTGAAGAGCGCAATAAGTGCACCAGAATAAAGGCCTTGCCATCAAAATAGCCACTTCGTCGTCAGTCAAATTGAGCAAACTGACTTATCACGTTCTATATATGAAGAAGAAAAAGAAAGGTCGGGGGAGGGCAGAGGAGTTTGTCATAACGCGCACTGAAATACAAGACGTATCTCACTTCGCCGGGAAAGAAAAAAAAGGAGGAAAAAAAAAAGAGGGGGACAGTAATAGAAACAACAACACAACACAAAAAAAACATCACCGTACGCGAGGGCCGCAGCAAAAGCAGAACTTTGGAGTGGAAATGCCAAAAAGCAAAGATCCAAACACACACACGCACAAAAAAATAAAATAAATATGAACAAATCAACAACCCAGACGAGAAAAACAACAACAACGTGGTTGCATAAAAATTAGCGTTGCTCTCGATTCTCATACGTCCAGAAGGAAAGACAATCAACAAGAAGAGCAACAAAGAGACCCGCCTGTGGGGCATTTATGAATTCTTCTCGAGATATGCAAAGCGGCTCTGCCGTGGAGATGAGATCAAATGCCTCCTGCACGACTGTTTCCCGTGAGGGCACCTCAAGTCCCGCTGCCACCAGTTTCGTGTGTGTTTCTCTAAAGAAGTAGTTCACATGCACGGGTTTCAAGTAACCACACCCCTCAATGTCTAGGATATTCCAGAAAAAAAGCGGACGCTGACATGATGGAAGAAACTCCACCGCCACCACAAAATCTACAAATTTTCGGAAATCCAGCTCTGAGTTCGCCATCATCACATTCGTCTCAAAGAAGCGGTCAATGAAAAGCGACGAGAGCGGCCCAACGCCCGGTGGGAGGCCGTCATCCATCACGGTTGGAAGGCCCTTTTTGTACCGCTTCATGTCATCCGCATTGAGGGTTCCCCGGTTACGAGTGTCCAACAAAAGAAACTTGTCGTATAAATGTGACGTGATGGCGGCACTGAACCAGTTCCGCGGCTGGTCTTCCCGCATCAGTTGCAGACTCACCCACTCATCCATCACCGGGTTTTGCAACAACATATCGATGCGAATGGCACCTCTCGACCCCGGATCCAATACCCAAAAGATGCGCCGACTTACTGTGCAGCAGTAGAAGGGCAGGATATCCTCGGTGATATCTCGCAATGCTTCGATCCGCGGGACCAAGTCACGCACATAGCTTTCCATTTCATCTTCGGTTAAGCATCCATCATTGTTGGTGTCCCACATGATCAATTCTGCTTCACACTTTACGAGGGACACCTGCTTGGCAAAACGCTGGTAAATGTGCACCACCTCCACGCCACCTGCAGGAGAACGGGGGCATGACAGATAAAGTTGTAGCGATGGCCGTGGCTGCATCACGGATGCCAAGTACACGACACTCCCTAACGGCGTTGTGTCATCCAAACATTCTTGTGATGATTGTACAGAAGCCTCTCTCTGCGGTGAGGCCTTCGGAGTTCCCTCGAAACGTTCTTCTTGCCACGCCTTGAACTTCTTCAAAATTTCCATGTACTCTATGATGGTTATCGTTAGACGTGTTTTATCAGCACTAAGAAGCGCCCACAATTTGGCATGCATCTCGTCCAGTTTTTCTATTTCCCTAAAGCGCAGATTGAGCTCAAATGCTTTGCTTGTGACCCGCAAAAGTCGAAGAGCCTCTTCAGCAGCGGGGTCGCGCCGTCGCAAATACATGGCTGGTATAAAAGGTTTTCTCTGCTCGCTCCATGCTTTCTGTGCCTCCGCGTTAATGCGGGCCACCTCACGACCCCACGACTCGGCATCCACGTCGGTCTGCGTCGGTCCCTTCTCCGCAGCACATCGAAAGGCGTTAATAATCGGTTGGCACGCTTCCCTAGTGACGGTTGGAGCCAACATCAAAAGCTCCGGCGTGCTCCTCCTTCAAAATAATTTCTCCCCTTCCCCTTCCCCCGAAATAATACACTGAAAGAAAGCAGCAGCAAAAATCTAAAGGAAAAGGAAAGAAAAAAAAAAGAATTTAAGAAGAAATGCGGCATGTTTATTTGCACAGCGTCCAATAAAATTAGCGAGCAAAACAACGAAAACAAGAAAAAACAAACAAACATGTGGACATAGAGGAGGGATTCTCCTCTTTTTTCCTGGACTGTATCGAGACCTTCCAAAGCCCTGCCAGCAAAAAAATAGTGAGAGGGCGTTACTTACCACGCAACTCCGTCTGCTTCTGTTCTGCCAGCCTCCCCCCAAGAGCAATCTTTGCCAAAGCATCCAACCTCCTTTCATGTAGGAGTTCATCAGAGCACCACTCGTTTCAGGGAGCTGCATTTATCCGCGTGCTCCTTCAAAAATAAATGCGTCTGCTCAGCACAACTTCGATTAATTTGCTCCCGCAAAAACAGTATGAGGGTAAAAACTAATGGGACGAACGTCAGCACGTATTCTCGGCAGTGTTCCTGCCGCGCCTTCGCCTGCTCGGTGAGAATTCCCTCGATAGCTTTTCGCGCGTCTAGCATGGCCTCGCTGGAGTTTTTAAAATGTGCTTCAAGATCTCGAATGTAGTGATCAATTTGTGCGCCGTACGGCGTAGTCATGGGGCCGGCAGAAGCGTTCCACTGCGCTGGCGTTGGTGGGGCCGCGGGATTGGTGTTGATTTTACCCGGATTAGATGACAGTGGGCCGGATTTCTCGGATCGAGGCGGAAGTTTCGCACGGAAAGCGGCCAACAACTTCCGTTGCAGCATTTTTATCCAGCGACTCCCCTATTAGTGCTGCTCGCACAGTCTTCTTCCCTTGCAGCCACAGAAGAAGAGACCCAACAAGAAAAGCAAGGCCGCATGTAATTCCCAGCCACTTCACTCACTTGAGGCCAAACAACAACAACAACATGCAATTCCACAAAAGCCCTACACCGAACTCATTCAAGTGGCTTCCCGTGAGCCATCTGGAAGGAAAAAGGAAAACCAACAACAAAAACAACGACCAACTGGTCTGGGACAAGACACAAAAATGGAGGCAAAGAGTGTGGAGTAAGCACGCAAACAAAAGCAAAAAAGGCATTCCGAGGATTAAAGCATAAAACTAAGAGAGATTGTGGGGTTTGCTGTGAATCAGCAGGTTGAAAGCAAACATGTTTCATCGCATTGCTTCAGAAAAATAGATGCGTGTGTTTGTGTTAAGACATCATATTGCAGAGGTGTGTTGGCTGTGGTTCCAGAGGACTGAACGTGGTGATTCGCGGTGCGACACCAGCAGCTTTGAAACGTCTCCCGTACGCAGACTAAAGGGCGCACTTTCTCTTCCTGCACGGAGTCTGC